TATAACCCTCATCTGCTGGAAGCACATCATCTTCTTCTTCCGTCTCGCCCTCGTAAATCTGATAGTTAATGCTCAAGGTCTCATTGACTCGTGGCTTGACGGATTGAATGTGATCCATTATTCCATCGAGCTGGTCCACCAATCGGGTACATCCACCCTCAGTCTCCTCTAGTCGAGTTGCTTGGGCCGCCACATGAGCAAGGATGAGGTCGAGTTTTTCATCGCTCGTCAAGGTATCCTCTCGGAGTCTACCCGTATATATAAACTCATCTTGCATTATGGACTCGGGAGAGAAAACTCGGTCCTCTATAACTTGAATGTGCTCCACTAAGTTCACAATCTCGCCCTCAAGTTTTCTCTTATGGGCTTCCTGAGATTGCAAAAGAGCGAGAGCCCAATCAAGTTTTTTATTGTAGGCGACCTCTTTTTCATGAGCTGCTTTGGATTCTATAAAATCAAGAATCCGGTCGAGCTTCTCGTTAAACTTGTTGGACTCATGCGTCTTGATATAGCCCTATTATCATAGCCCGATTCAAATGCTAATTAGCCGGCCGAACAAACACTGATGACGACATCATTAGGTCGACATCCTCGAAGTCGACTTGGCCCATCGGCAATTTGAAGAGCACCATCGGCCAGATAACGGCCTCGAGACGACTCTAGGAAGTCGACTGAGTATAAGGCGACTTCTCTCAAGAAGACGAGCAGACACACCAGGAGCCCTAAGCGTATGGATAACTCTAGGTCGACTTGGCAGGGTCCCAAGTCGACTTACATGACCTCCGACGACTTGATACACTTAGATGCAACATATAGAAAAACTCCAAGGTAGAATAAGTTCACATGAGATAAGGAAGGATCTAGATGCTGACTCAGGAGTGGGCAGAATACCAACCGACTAGGGCATTTTGGACACTTCATGTAAGTCGGCCAGGGCATTTTAGGTACTTCAAGTAAGTGCTTCTGCCCCTATATAAGGGAGCTGAGGTAACCCCAAACCCTAACTTTCATTCTCTCCATTCATTATTCAGCTGCTGCTCCTACTGAGCAGAGCTCCTCCTCTCCTCTCTCACTGACTTGAGCGTCGGAGGCTCTTCACCGGAAAACATTTCCGGTGTTGAGTTCTTGCAGGTGTTCGCAGCGGTCCACGGGTGACTTGGAGATGATTCAAATAGACCGGAGCTCATTTCCACCGGTTCACTCTAAATCTAGGAGGAGACCCATCAAATTGGCACCGTCTGTGGGGAGTTCTTGAAGGAAATAAGAGCTTTGCACCCAGTTCCGATCTGTTTGACATGGCGGAGAAGGAAAGATTGTCGAGAAATTTGAACGAGGATTTTCGGGCAGCGTGGACCGATAAACGGCCGCCGCTGATTCCTGGCCCTAGACCACCACTTCAGGTGCTCGGTTTCCTGCCGTTCGGAGGGCACGCGCCGTCAGGAGCGCGTAGGGAGGAAGAAACACCCGTCACACCACCTGGGGTGAAGATCCCAGGGCTAACACAAGAAGGATCTAGCCAGACAAGGGCCACCGATACAGGAACTGACGAGAACGAGTCGGCCAAAACGGCTTTGAGCTTGGGAAAGCGGTCTGA